AGAATAAAATATATCCAATACAAATACCTGTTGTTTAAACTTTTAAGATCAAACGAAAGTTAAGTAACGAGCATTTTAAAAGCGAAATGTTAAAACTTGTCCCTAAACTTCCAAACACCTTAACCACTTACTGGGTTTGGGTAGAGTAGCAAAATTATATCTACAAGCATTTGAAGAAAATTTCCTGGTCTTCAACCTTTTTTCTTACTGTAATATCAAGAAAAAAAGTTTCAAAAGGAATATTTACGAGATACCTGAACCGCTACCACTTTTTTTTGACAATTTTGCATATTCAGCGGCTCATATTTGGAAAACGGTAATACGGAATGAATACAACTTCAACTGATATAAAAGTGAGATCAGAAAGGCGCGTTCATTATGGACAATAATTATGAGTCAGCTGGACTGAGGAACAGACAGAATCGAGCAAAGAAACTTCTAATGGAGACACTTCCCAGATTGTACAGAAGCTGATGACCAAAAGCTTTGAAGAGCAATTGGAATCAATCTCAAAAACCGACGCAGAAGTGATAAAAAAATAATAACGAAGGAAAATGTGGAATAGGTAGTGAAATTCTTCAACCCCTACAAGTCCGCAGGACCGGATGGTTTAGTGCCAGTTATGTTACAAAAATACCTGGAAAGTATTCTATACCTTTTCAGCTTCAAATTGGGACTAAACAACTTTAAGTTGGGAACTAACAAAATCAAAATGGGAATTAACAATATCAAATTGGAAATAATCATATTTAATTTGGTACTAATCAACTTCAAATTGCGACTAATCAATTTTGATTTGGGAAGAAACAAATTCAAATTGGGAATTGACTTATTCAATATAGGTATTAATATAAATTGAAGGATTGCAAGTGAACAAAATCAATATATCAATGAAAAAGGGAATTTGAATACAATGAGATCTCATAGTATGTTTTTATACCAACATTTCATAAACAAAAATTAAAAGTTGTAAGTCTTTATTTGACAAGACATAATCAAAAACAAACATAGTGTTTAAACATATTTTTATTATTAATCACTAATCAGCCATGTTTAGCGCATCAGGTATAAAGCGTCGAATATGAGCTACATGGCTGGCACAATTATTTTTCTCAAACTCGCATAAATAGTCCATGATTCTCTAAGGGACTTCACTGTAATCGAAAGGAAAAATAAACTCAAAGTTAAAGTCTCAAATATAATTTCCTAAATTGAATAAGTCTATTTCCAATTTCAATTTATTTCTTTCCAAATCAAAATTGATTAGTCGCATTTTGAAGTTGATTAGTACCAAATTAAATATGATTATTCCCCATTTGATATTGTTAATTCCCAATTTGATATTGTTAATTCCCAATTTGATTTTGTTACTTCCCAACTTAAAGTTGTTTAGTCCCAATTTGAAGTTGAAAAGGTATAGAACTAATATATACCTAAAGCGGGTAAATCAGGTATCTCACGAAAATGCACTGCATGAAGCTCTACAGTTGTAGGGCAAACCCTTTAAAACCCAATCTTACCTATCCTGAGATATACTTGGCATTGAGAATTAATAAGCTGACTTAACCACGATTCCTTTTCCATATGTCTTTGTTCTCAGTTCACAGGTTTTGGCATACTTTTTGGCATATATTGTAGTATAACATACCCGGGTTCGTGCAGTCAGATTGAACGATGAGAATTTCTTATTACCTTTTAAACAACAAATCTTCTGAAAAAAGAAATGGAAAACAAAAAGGATCTACGTTGTGGAAACTTACTCAATTTTACTTACTGGACATGCGCCCGACATAGCAAATATTTGGGAAATTTAAGGGTTGGGATATGTAAAAGAAACGAAAAATTTGTAATGTGTGTTTATTATTAAAGTAAATCGTACCGTTCTCATCCTGGAACTAACGAGGGGAAGAGCACGGAAGAGAAACCCTCGATCTACATTCCTCAAAAATCAAAACATACTGTGTCATCTTAATAATAATTGTGTCATTAATTCAATAATTCAAGTCAATAAAAGTTCAAATTAGGTACCGCCCCTGTTCTTGTGCTAAAATTTCAATTACACATACCAAAATGAATCAGCACTACCTATAATCAATACTGAAGATTTTTGTTAGTTGGCCCATCTGCGGCAGGTACTGAGGTCCCAGCGGGGGGATTACGAAAACACGACTCGAAATGGACACTCGATACGAAAGTGAATACGCATCGATTGTGCTCGAAACGTCAGAGATGATTAGGTACAAGTTTCGTTTTGTGTTCGTGTAAGTTCGGAGATTTGTGACGCCTTTCGCTCAAATTTACCAAATTTTGTCAATTTTTTGACATTGACTTAATACTAATTCTAATTTTTTATTGTGTTGTGGTTATTTGTGTTCTTTAAAGATTAATTTCGCAATTTCAAAGTGTTTAAAAATTTTTATAAAAGGAAAAAGTTAGTATTATGTTTACCATAATCAGAGTCATAAGGCGGCGAAGGCAAAATGATGCAAGAAGACGAGAAAATCGTGCATTAATTCATATTAGAAGAGAAATCAGAGAAAGTTATGATTCCTTTTTACATCCAGGGTCCTTATTCTTGAAACAGGAAGTAGCGTTCCCAGAAGAACGAGTGTTCTGTCTTTTTCAATGATATGCAAATGATAACGACATAAGTAGGTACAAAGACGGAACACTCGTTCTCTTGGGAACGCTGCTCCCCTGTTTCAAGAAAAAAGACCCAGAGGCAAGGTTTATTTAGACTTAGCAAAGTCTTGGTCCAGAACCTTATTGAGTTGGTACGACCTCATCTACAATTATCCACAGATTCTTTATTTTCTGTAAGCTGTTCCAGAGTTTCCTTTGAATGACTTTGCCGTTGGGCCCTGCAAATTGACCTCTAGCAAATAGAGAATGTTTATCCATAAAAGATAATAAAACCTGCCAATGGCCATCATTAATTTTAAGACATTTTTTTCCAGCGATTTTTCTATTCAAAGTTCAAAATACTACAAAATGTCAAAACAAAACAAAGAATCAAACGAATTTTGGCCCCCAAAAATCCAACATAACTTAACTTTATTGGACTCGATTTCGTTTCGATAGCTTTTCGACAGACATCAACCAGTCGAGTGACTTTCGTCGAAATGCATTCGCATGGAGTGCGTTCGAAATCAAAATTTTGGTGTAACATGGCGGTTTCGGTTCGAATCGAGAGTTCGTAATCCGCCCCCTGGTTACGTAGACTCACAGCTATAGTTGTTATTTTGAGCTAATATCTCTTTCCTTTGTTTGGTAGGATATTCGCTTGTCAGGGTAGGACAATTTTAGTAAATTCAACAAGGCCCTAATGCACGTTCTGAATATACAAAATCAAAATCTCAGCACAAAAGACAGCACATAATTTCTTAGGTTTTAATTTACTCTTTATCTGTATTGTTTATAGCATGAAACGATTTTTGTTATATACATGAATACATGAACAATGCACATGTTATAAAAAAATGTTATAAACAGACAAAAAAAAAACATAAAAATGGGGAAAAAAAATACTTGTATAAATTGAACTCTCAAAAACAAAATAACAATTATTCAACTGACCTGTGATCGTTCCTTGACACACACACTAATCACAAATTGATTTAAACAATCCAATTTAATACAAAATTAAAATTGAAAAAAAATAATAATGGCGGACAAACGGTCTAAGGGACCAGCCCAGAGCCTCGCTTCTTCTCTCTAGTCTTCCCTTCGCTCCGGTACTTTCGTTTTCTGTGGCGCGCCCTCCGTTCTCATAAACTTAAACTTCACGGCGCATTACATGGTTGCAACATTTATTTTTATTCAGTAAACGTTTTTCAAAAAAGTTAAGATTCAAACAAATAATATTTTAGATAGGTGGTTTTCCTCAATGTTATGTTATTAATTTTCTGTGATCGATGCCTGAAGCCTCTAATAAAGGATAGTTGAGAGTCAAAGTCACTTTACATTTTTGTACTAAGTAATATCTCGAAATTGAAACTGTAACTTCCACTTCCAAGATAAAATCAGAAACTTAATGACAATGCACTTTTTTACACAATCAAAGGTGTGACTATTGAAAAGGTGTAAATTGGTTCTTCCTTCCTTTCAATCATCTTTCAGTGGTTTTACCCAGCTTTTACTTTCGAAAGGATTTCATTATACCTAGGTTTTTTTTTTTGCTTGAAACTCTTGGAAGCATGTAATGAATGATTATTCCGTTAACGACCGTATGCATGGTGCCTATTATCACGCATTGATTGGTCGAACGCCATCGATAATTGGCTTTGTGTGTTTCACAATGGTTTTCACTAACCATAAAAAATATTTATATGATAGATGGAGCGGTTGTAAGAAAAAGCAATAATTTAATTTCTAATACCAAAATGTACATCTGAATTATCTAAAAGTTAATTTATACCAAGAACATAACATAAGAGTTTGTTCTTAAAAAATACAATAAAAAATAGAAACCAAAACCAAACAACTTCGTATATTTTCCATGTTATGACATATAAAGTCAATCTCAAATGTAAGTACCCACTAGTACTATAAACATAACTTGAGTTGTTACGGGGACTCTATAGAGTAACATTGCCTTACCTTTTTTTAGTGTCCTGACTCCTGAAGATGCAATAATATATTGCGAAACGTTGACAATCTGAAATAACAGACTTCTGTTGTTTTATTTCGATCCAATCCCAAACAAAACCTCAACCAATTAAAAAATAGAAAATTGTAAAAGTCAATCCAAAATACATTTTGCGATAAATCAGCTATCTAAAAAAAAATTCAAAAATCCAATACTTACCTGTAGCTATCTCAACTATTTATCTTCATTTGCAAAACTATTCTTCGGCTGTCTCCACTCCAAGAAGTAAACGTGTATTAGATTTAGTCACGATTTTCATTTTGAGATATTAATTGACGAAACATAAGTACCTACCTATTTACCCATTTATAGTAAAAAGGAAAAAGTCTTGTAATGGTATGAACTTTTTCAGATGTGATTCTTTGGAAACAGCCTCTCACTTGAAACAGCAATTACAAATTTTAATCGACAGGCCTGAAAATCAGAAGAAAATGACCGAAATTGAAAATAGGTTGAAGCCGGTAGAAAAAATTAAAAAATTGGAAAGTAGTATAGGTAGTGATACAGGGGCCTCAACGAGAGAATCGGAAAGTAGTGAGGAAAGGTAAAAAAAATATATATATGTATATATTTTTTTTTTCACGAAAACTAATTTTATTTTTGCAGGTTTGCTTTAGAAAATTCTAGAATATCAAGTCTCTATAACTCTGTCGCCGCAGAGTTACGAGAGAAATTAGGAAAGAAAAATTCCCCAATACTATTACCACCTAGAGATTACGATACTGTACATAGGCAAAAAGGAAATTTGACAGGTATAGATTTTAAACTTTAATAATCTATAATATCTTTAGCAATGTTTTCATCTATAGGTATTGAACTTCGAAGATGCCTAAACTCGAACATCGTTGGACAAAACGTGAAAAACAAGAGGCTGGAATCTTCTGGAGGGAGTTCTGGAATAGGATCAGATCATCCGCCCAGTCCGGAAAGTCCTGACACTCCCGAGTCCAGGTTTCATACGATGGAAACTCATAGTACGAGCGGTAAGTGATAATTTTCTAGCTTTTACATTAAATTAAAATTTCTAGTTGTTGCAAAAACAGATTACCAACATAAAAATTTCCGATGAGGTAACGTTGTACTTTCTCTCACGTTTTTAAAAGTTTATTCGTAACAGAAAAAAATGGTAATAATATTGATTTGTTTCTTTTTTCAATAATGACGGTCTTTATTGTTTCTCATTGGTATTTTTGCAATTAATTTTTTTTCTGGGATTGGCATGCGTGTACGTTAGTTATGGATCATAAAATAAATTGGATTTCTCGTTTCTTAATTTTTTTAATTTAATTCCTATTATATCTGAGGATGTATAAGTACTTTCTATAAAAACAAGTTCTAAGAATCTTAGCACAGGACTTTTATAAAACCCTTCTGATCATGGTTTGGTGGACCATCTACCACATAAGATATTAAAATTTGAATAATGAATTTATGAAAATAAATGAAATGGCTTCCCAGAAAACACATTTGTTATACATTTAAGTTAAGTTTATATAAATTTGAGATCATTTTCATTACCAGCATTAGTAGTTTCATGTCAACTTTATGTAAATACTATGCAAACTAAAAGTTTGTAACTGTTTATGTAATGTTAACCTAAAATATTAAATAGGTATAGCATTTACATACCATTACACGCTGGCAACTTTTTCTAAGACTATTTCACAGATTCACCCTATTTATCAATTCTTACCTCTACCAGAACCTAATTATTATTTTTTAAAAATCAATTCAGCATAAACCTAATTTAATAGATTAATGAAAATGACCCAAATTTCGTTTTTATTAATATAGAAACCCATCTTAAAAAAAATAATTTAAATTTCGGTCCTCCGGCCATGATCTCTCCAACATCTCCGTACACCGATAACCGTTTCTTATCCGTTTCCTCGTTGTCTTTTTCGTTTTTTAAATATTCACCTGAAAAAATAATTCGGACACAAAACCGAACCTCGCACAGGTGAATTCGAGATGGACATCAACCAGCCCACCAACATGATACCTGTTTTCGAGACCTGTCCCAAGAACAGGTTGTGTGGATTTTAAAGTCTTCGGTGACTTGGTTTACACAGAACTTTCTCAATCATTTTTCGAAGAATAACTGCAAAATGATAAGAGGCTTACAAATTTTGACGGAATTATGCGAACTTTCGTGAGATCTGAGCAGAACGAGGTTGGTCAAGAACCGACAAAGAATATTACAAATGAGAAAACTATGATTCTACAAAGAGATTAGTTTTTCTATTATGAATACTGGGCTCAGTTTTAACGATTACAACCCGAGATAATTTAGCCTACGATACATGGATATTAAAACCTCCAAACTTCAACGCAGACCCACAAGGCACAAGAAATTCTCAAGCTCGTGGACATAAAAGAGAAGAACACAGAAAAGTCAATAAAGTAGTAAGAAGGTTGTTACAAATTAAATTGAAATTTGTTACTTTAAAATAAGAGAACCTAGGGTCGTGGAATTCAAAAAATTAAGATAACGTGTAGCCCCTTTATGTGCAAATGAAACCACTCAAAATCCAACAAACAATAATTTTATTTGATATTTAGCAAGTTCTGTGTTTACAATATAGTGATAATGCCACTTTCTTTAAAACATGTAGTAACAGTCAATGCTACTTTCTGTAAAATTTTACAGTTGACAGCTTGGTTGTTTTGGAAAAGCCAATGAACTATAACCAAAAACTGGAATGCTAACACATAAGGACGAACTTGAAGCCTAGTGCGGCCGCTGCGGAGGGGATACCTGTTTTTGTCGCACTCATTATGTTAAATGGCGAAAATTGCTTCCAACACGTATTCCAATTGATGAAACCTGTGAAGGGAAATAAGGGAGAATCTAAAAATATAAAGCAAAAATTATTAAAATTAAAAATGACTTGCCTGCTAGACTACTGCCGAGAAAAGAGAACGTTTTAGAAACCAAACCCCACAGGAAAATACAAATCACTGTCAAAATGAGAAACAAAGGATAGTTAAGGAAAACTATCACAATTAGAAAAAAAATAAACTCATCCGGCACTAGATGGCAGCACTGGTGAATGAATAATAGATATTTGCATTTTACGCTCATGATGGATAGATGGCAGCACTGGTATTATTTTGAACTTTGTGGATATTTTTAGAATATTATGAATTATTATTTTGCTGATTCTGAAATGACAAAAATACAACTTTATAATGAAAATGAGAAGAGATGGAACATGTTACGTGAATGATAAATTTATCGGAACAAGGTTTGGAATGGGCTTTGCGTAACTTAAATGATTTCAGAATGAGATAGCGCTAGTAAGGGCTGAAAATCTATTGGATCTCTCGGATCTCTCACTCTAACCCTGAATGAGATAGCGCTAGTAAGGACAGAAAATCTCACGGATCTCTTTGGTTCTCTCACTCTAATCTTAGCCGTAAATATACGTATTGAGTGGATAAACAAGGGTCCATTCCAAACCTTCTTACTACTTCATTATACGGAGAATTCCCATTTGAATCAGAGCAGTCATGGAGGTATGCCCAAGGAATCGTGTGAGGAACTAGAAGAAGAGCAACCAAGGAAATATTAATTTTCATACAGAAAACTTACAACCATTGTCCAACCAAATCCTATTTCAAATTTTCCAAAACAGTAGATATGACCGCATCAGAACATTGGTAATGAGCAATTTGGAATTAGAAAATACCTTAATTCAATTTCTACTACTTAAATGAAGTGTGAATGAAATATCATGGATGAATGAACGAATTGGGGGCATTGTTACACTACGACCTGTATAGCTTCTAGGTGCTTCAGTTTTTGACCCACCATTATACCATTTTATGGCGTTCGTCTGCATTGTAAGAATGGATGTGGTGCTTCCTTCTCATTCTTCTTTGCTCCTGCGTTACTCAAAATTATATGTTTTGATCATATCATCACTGGAAAGCTCGAGGAGCGAAATGTGCTTGGTTAGAGATGCCAATTCTCTCTTTCCAAGCCAGCCTCCCTCGCCAGCTTGCTCCCTCGTGATTCTATTTATTGCTCGTCTAGCAGCCCCCTCCACCACGATGTGAAGAGGTACGAGACTCAAGCTCTGCTCTCACAAGAGTCTCTGATAGTTTGCAAACTAGCAGAAACAATCGCCCAATTAAGTTATCAATTTATCTGGAAACGAAGGCATTGAAGACATGTATGAGCGATGCTTTCTGACAGTTTGCAAACTATCAGAAACTCTTGTGAGAACAGGGTCTTGGAATTGTTTCAATGGCTGCTGTGGGACAAGTTTTCATTGCGCTCGTAATGTAGGTATGTGCACGCCAGGTGCTATAGTTTGTTGAGAGTTGCTTTTATGTTCGACACATTATGAGAGCCCTTGGTTACAACTCCTTCAATGTGTTTTCTGCATCTGAGTTTGCATTCCAGCGTTATGCCGAGATACCTGTCTTCCGTCACCGGTTTAATATTAGTCCCGTGAATTCAGATCTCCTTCATTCTAGGAAGTGCACTACGGTAGTCTTTGATGGGTTTAATAAAATACCATAATCCTATTCAATTTCAGACGCATACATTTACCTATATTACCAGAACAGAATCTACTTCAATTACTTATCAGGTATGTAGGTGCCTGAATTCTGAATTCTACAAAAATCACAAACCTTTTAAATCTGAAAAACCACAAGGTGGAGCCATCGAGACGTTCAATATTGTAGTTTCAAAGGATGTAAACCCATTCAAATGAATCATCTTAAATCGATCCGGTGGATCTTCTCAATTTTACTTGCAAAAATAGCATCGAAGTGAACCATGTCACATCAATCGCTATTTGTTTCAGATATCAACAAATACCTGTGTATCGTATGTACGGGGGTTGAGAATGATTGTCTTGTAATAATTATAGTAAATCATGACTCATAAGTATTTAAGTAGGACAAAATATTATTGATTATCATGCATAGTTGAATAACTCTCAGGGCAAAAAAATATTGTATTTTCATCACACTGACTGACAACAAACGTCCGTAACGGTAATTTGGCACCACTTCACCCAGGAAAAATGCACGACATTGGACGTGTTTCTTTTTTTTCGTGTTTGTTCCTCTTCGTGATTTTTTCCTCTAGTTATTGTTCGGTCTAAACTCGGGTATTAGTAATCTTGTACCATTGTTAATTTAACACAATATAAGTAGAAAAGTAGGTACCAGAGCAAATAAATAATGCTATTGTTGCCTCTAGGCTACCATGATGATGACGACCGTATTCCTAATTTATTTTTATTATTAAATTAGATTGTAGAGTTTCTAGTGGGAAAAGATGACAGTATTTGTCTGTAAGTGGGAAGTTATAAAATGGAATGGATTTATTGAAATTTGCTTAAAGAATGTAGTTTTAAGTATTATAACATCGATATTATCATAAAACACACGATGTAGAAAGTTTAAAGATGAGATCATTAAAATTGATTATTTTTTTTTGGCTCGGCCACTGGCGGAGGTTGTGTAACCAAAAAGAAAAGGAATGATTAATAGGTAGGTACCTATACACGTCAATAATTATTGAGAATATTAATGAGCTTATCCTATGAGTTTGTTTATTTTATAATTGAGTTAGTTGAAGACAGCAACATCTTTGATAGTTTGGTTGTTTTCCTGCGAAGTTAATGTTTATGCACAAAAATGAACGGCCAAAGAATCATAAAAATACCTCCTAGAAAGCCTGCTTAACCGCAAAATGTAAGAAATAATTTCGATTGGAATGTGTGGTTGAAACTGTGACATAATTAGGTAACCGATGTTTAGAAATAGGTATAATACGTGAATGTTGCTACCTTCTTTTTTCTCAAATGGTGTAATATAGCTGATGTTGTTACCACTAATCTGACATGATTGTCTTTTGTAAGCTTTCAACAATAATTAACTACTTGTAGAAGTTTTCTATATGTGGTCTGTTCTAGTTAGATTTGATATTTGTGTGTTTGTGATATTGGTATCCTTCTAC